TTTTTTTTTGCTTTAGGATGTGGAATCAAACTTCAGCCTGTCTTTGCCAGGAAAGTGGTTTGCTGCTTTAAACTGAGACTGCTTCAGGAGACCTTTGTGCCCACTGCCAACTCCTGTCCTGGAGCTACAACACCCCTTCTAGGATTTGACTTGTCTTGGAGCCTGAGCTAAGTACCTGGAAGATTTGCACGACCGCCTAGAGCTCAAAGTCCTTCAACCATCTGTCAGAATCCTGGGTGGCTTCTATCCCTACTAAAAAGCTGAAAGACTCACAGGATATTTACAAACTGGAAGGGATACTGTAGATCACTTGATACACCTTTGAATATTTATCAAATGACATTATTGGAAATCGAGCCCAGGCAAACTACTAGACACCTTCACAAAGGATTCACTGAATCACCTTATAACTCAGCAACACACTGTATTTAGAAACAGGATATTTTAGCCAGCTGTTAATTACTTTCCTGGCCTCTTTCCTTAGCCTTCTTCCAGTCCTTCACTTCTCCCCAATTAACTGCATCACAGGCTCTGGAAGAATTTTACAAAACTCTTTCACTGTTTCCCAAAATAGCCCGGAGAGGGAAATGTAAGTGCTGGGAAACAAAAGCCTTATTTAATTAGGTTAGAGAGGGGAGCAAAAAACATATAGAAGACAAAGAATTTTGAGGCTTCGAGATATGTGCAAACTATATTATAATATGTTTCAAGGTGCTTGGAAGAAAGGTGATAGGCCAGGCACAGTGGCTGACACCTGTAATCCTAGCACTCTAGGAGGCTGAGGTGGGTGAATCATGAGGTCAAGAGATGGAGACCATCCTGGCCAACATGCTGAAACCTCATCTCTATTTAAAAAAAAAAAAAGCCGGGCGCAGTGGCTCACGCCTGTAATCCCAGAACTTTGGGAGGCTGAGGCGGGTGGATCACGAGGTCAAGAGATCGAGACCATCCTGGTCAACATGGTGAAACCCCGTCTCTACTAAAAATACAAAANAGCCAGGGAAGTCGAGGCTGCAGAGAGCCAAGGTCATGCCATTGCACTCCAGCCTGGGCAACAGAGTGAGATACTGTCTCAGAAAGAAAAGAAAAGAAAAGAAAAAAACAAGGAAGGCTGGGCGTGGTGGCTCACACCTGTAATCCAAGCACTTTGGAGGCCAAGGCGGGTGGATCACCTGAGGTCGGGAGTTCAAGACCAGCCTGACCAACATGGTGAAATCCCGTCTTTAAAAAAAAAAAAGAAAGAAAGAAAGGTGAGATACATTCAAACTTTCAAGGTGACTTTGAGCATGTTGGCTCACACCTGTAATCCCAGCACTTTGGGAGGCCAAGGTAGGAGGACTGCTTGAGCCCAGGAGTTACAGATCATCCTGGGAAATGCAGCAAGAATACCGATTCTACAAAAGATAAAAAGAAAAATTTAGTGTGCCTAGTGGTGCACACTTTAGTCTCAGGTACTTAGGAGACTGAGATGGGAGGATCCCTTGAGGCCAGAAGGTCAAGGATACAGGGAGCCATGATTGCACCAGTACACTCCAGTCTGGGCAACATACTTGAGACCTTGTCTCCAAAAATAAATAAATAAATAAGAATGCAAGAAATACAAGGCCTTATTATTTCACATTTCTGTTTTTCTGTGTCATGTTTCAGGTTAGCAACTTTGATTTACAGTAGTTTTGACTACCTTAGGATTCTCTGTCTTATTCAGAGCTGCCCACTGACAGCCTAACTCTTAATCCAGCCCATTACCACTGCCTTGCTTGAAACCACTTTCCTGACAAAGACAGGCTGAAGTAGGGAAAGGCAATTCAGCTTTATTTTATCTTGCTCTCATCCCTCTGATTCCTGGGGCACTCAAACTTTAGTAGGACATTGGTAGCCCTACACTGGGAAGATGTCCAGCAAGGCATACTGCAAAAAGTCCACTGAGAAATTCAGATACCTGCAGCCATAAAAAATAAATGAGATCATGTCCTTTGCACAGGGACATGGATGAAGCTGGAAGCCATCATCCTCAGCAAACTGACATAGGAACAGAAAACCAAACACCACATGTTCTTACTCTTAAATGGGAATTGAACAATGAGAACACATGGGCACAGGGAGGGGAACATGACACACTGGGGCCTGTCAGGGGTGGAGGGCAAGGAGAGGGAGAGCATTAGGACAAATAGCTAATACATTCGGAGCTTAAAACTGAGATGATGGGTTGATAGGTGCAGCAAACTACCATGGCACATGTATACCTATGGAACAAACCTACACATTCTGCACTTGTATCCCAGAACTTAAAGTAGAATAAAAAATATAGGCTGGGCGAGGTGGCTCAGGCCTGTAATCCCAGCACTTTGAGAGGCTAAGGTGGGTAGATCACGAGGTCAGAAGGTCAAGACCAGCCTGGCCAAGATGATGAAACCCT